GGGGGCAGGAGAAGTTGGGCTCCGACTCCCCCCAGCACTGGCTGAGGCAGGCCCGGCAGAAGTTGTGCCCACACTCAATGATCACTGGGTCTGTGAAATACTCCAGGCAGATGGGACAGGTCACCTCCTCCTGGAAGCTCCCGGCCAGGTCCCCGGCAGCCATGGCCCCTCCGCAACCCTGCCCTGCGGGTTAGTTTCGTTTCCCGATCGGTGGAAGCAGTGTAGCCTGTTCAAGCTGCTTTCTTTTTTTTTTTTTTCTAAGCAGATTGAAAAAGCGGGAGCCAATCACACTCGCCGGACGGAAATGAAGAAAGAAAAAAAGCCCCAGAGCCCCAGACATGCCCCAAGCGACCTAAGAAAACTCCCAGGCAGGTACAGACGCACAGAACCTCGCCCGGTTAAAAGTCTCAGGGGCAGCCGGGTTAGTCTGTAACTAAAAGAAACTTCAACAACAACGAGCTTTCGTGGGCTCCGCTCACTGCTCCGGGTTTGCCGGCTGAGGCAGTGGGCTGTGCCACGGAAGCGCATGACACTCTCCAGATTTTTTGCTAGTCTGTCAAATGCTACAGGGCCAGGGGTTTAAGGCGCCCAGAAGCCAGCGCTGCTCCTGTTTATAGGCGTAGGCGGGAGCTGAAGGACCGTGTCCCGTACAGCGAGGGGGGACTGGGGAGCAAAACCTCTTAAACTCAGGAATAAGGGATCTTCCGGAAAAGGCTTGATTTTCCGAACGATCCCCGTCTAGACTGGCGCTTTTCTCCGGCAAAGCCCCGAGCCGGGAAAAAGCAGCCGCCATATTTATGCAAATGAAGCGGGGAAGATTGAAATCCCCGCTGCATTGGCAATAACCATGTGTCTGATCTGCCTCCCTTTTCCGGAAAAGAGGTGCAGTGTGGACACAGTCCTCGTGTTTCACCATCAAATTCGGGTCCCCTTTGCACCAATACGAGCGGGGTGCTGCTGAGGCATGTGACTCACCACGACCCATTTGGGGACCAGTGTCTCCCAGCCGCTAAGGCCGGGTTGGCCCCCCCCCAACGGGCTGTTTACTGCCCCAGGTGGGGTGGAGGATGGGGGTGATAAGGGCCCCCACCACCCTGCTTTCTGCTTCGTTGCCCCATTTCCCTGGGCAAGACCCAGAGTGGTCACACAGACCCTCCGGTTCCCCACAAGCTCAGGCCCAATGGCCCCAGGGGGTGGCTGCCCCCACCAAGACTCAGCTGCAGAGGAGGCTAGGACTCAAACAGAGTATAAAGAGAAGCTGGATAATTTCATGGCGGTTAGGTCCATTAAAGGCTATTAGCCAGGGGATAAAATGGTGTCCTTGGCCTCTGTTTGTTCTTATTTCGAAATACTGGTAATTTGGACACGCCGGTGCTGCTATTCCACCCCAGCGCGGCTTAGGGCTCTACGTCCAGGCTGTACGTTCACATGACCGGAGCCTGCCTGGGGCGAACGTGGAGAGTTTCCCGTAGGAAGGACCCGCTAATTTGAATGTGTGGAAGCAGGAGTTCTGAAATGGGACGTTGGTGTTTCACAATCGTTTCCTCGTGTCGCCGTGGCCTTCGGCGTTTGAAAAGCGCCACCACGACAGCACGTGAGCGTGGCCGCGGCAGAGAGCTCTCCCAGCCCTGCAGGTGAACCATCGCCGTACCGGGGGGGCGCTCACCGTACTAGGAGCCCGTTTACACGGGGACCAGTGTCCCCCCAAGATTGTCCAGCCAGGAGCGGAGTTCTGTCTTGTGCGCCAGCAATGAAGGCGCGGGCGCTTGTGTGGGTAAATGCCGCCGTGGCACCCACCAGTGCGATGGCTCCCGAAAAACTCTTCCGGGAAGTACCCCCCCACACACAGCTTGTGGGGAGAAGGTGGGACGCGTCCCTCCTCCCTGCTAGGGTGTGTTGCTTCCTACGCAGCCTGTGTGCACGGCAAGCCCCAGGCTGCCCCTTGGGGGGGCTGGCTGTGAGCCCCCACCTGGGGCAGAGAAGGTCGAAGGCCAGGGGGCTCTGAGGGGAGAAAGAGAGGTACAGGGGGGAGGGGGCAGCCTCAGGAGCAGCCGCACCACAGCCCGGCTCCAGCCCTGTTGATTGCCTGGTAGCAGCCCTGCTGTCGGAGCAGAGCCGGCCTCACACCATGGGGCAGGCCTCTTCCTGCCCCCCAGCAACACGTGGGCTCGGCGCAGGCCT